CTTGCTACAGTTCCTATGACCTCCTTGACCATGCTGGGTGCGGCATGGGCCACTGGGGGTAGCCTACAAGCATTCACCCCCAACCTCCCCAAGCTAGACCTGAGAGCCCACCGGCCTAAGATCTGCATACCATTCAAGCACAAGGTAGCGACAGTCCTGAGTTCTTCCAATTAAAAACGGAGAGAGTGCATTTGCTTAGGCGACACAGGCACTATGGGTAATCTGGTGTGACATACTACCCCATGGCGCACACCCATGGTTTCCAGTTTGGAAGGAGCCAGTTTGGTGTAGTGGTTAAGTGTGTGGACTATAATCTGGGAGAAGTTAGTTTGATTCCCCTCTCCTCCACTTGCAGCGGCTGGATGACCATGGGCAAGCCGTAGTTCTGACAAGAGCTGTCCTTGAAAGAGCTCTCTCAGCCCCACCTACTTCACAGGGTGTCTGTTGTGGGGAGGGAAAGGAGTTTGTAAGCCGCTCTGAGACTCCGAGTGAAGGGCGGGGTATAAATCCAATCTCTTCTCTTCTTTTTATAATATGGCACCATTCTAAGTGATGCAGAGTATTCGCCTGAATAAAGTCATCATTATACTGCTGCAGACTGTGTCCACAGTAGACCCCTTGCCTCAACCTAGCCTCTGAGGGAAAAGATGCAAGAGTCACTCCATGGCCCTTCTTTAGAAGGCCTCTTTTGCTCAAAGTTCGCCTGCCAAGGACAGTGTTTTAGAATTTACAAAGGGCTGGATCCAGACCAAATTTTCCATCAGCAGGAGAAATGCTGCTTCTGCGGGGAGGAGGTTCTGCGGCACAGAAGGGGGAAAGTCCAGGGAAATAGATAATTTAGTCTGGATCCGACCCACAGGCTGGAAGAGCACCACGACAATGACACAAAGACATTTTCAGCAAGAAGACTGATGGGTCAAGGTGGGGGGTTACAGAGCAACTCAGCAGAGAGTGCTTGAGAGCTGGAGGCGGTACCTAAGAAAACAACAAAACCAGAAGCAGTCCTGCTAACAGAATTGGGTTTTTCTGACAGCCACTGGGCAGCTGGTAACGTTCCCCCACCAAGTAAAAGGTGCTGAGCTTTATGGGTTTCCAGCACGAAATAAGTCCAGAAGGTAGCCATGTTAGTCGTTGTTGAAGCAATACAGAAGAAGAGTCCCGCGGCACCTTAAAGATGAACAACATTTATTCCAGCAGGTGGTTTGGGGAGTCAGAGCTTGCTGCATGGCATCTGACGAAGTGAGCCTGGACTCACGAAAGCGTATGATGGAACAAATGTTTTGGCGCTGCTTGGCTTCTGTTCTATTTTCCAGCACAGAAGTACTTGCTGTGGTGAGCCTTCAGGCCCCATAAGGTAAAGGTAAAGGTTTCCCTTGCGCGAAAGCCAGTCGAATCCGACTCTAGGGTTGCGGTGCTCATCTCCGTTTCCAAGCCGAAGAGCCAGCGCTGTCCGAAGACGTTTCCGTGGTCATGGGGCCGGCATGACTAAACACCAAGGCGCACGGAACACTGTCACCTTCCCACCGAAGCGGTACCTATTTATCTACTTGCAATTTCTTGCTTTCGAACTGCTAGGTTGGCAGGAGCTGGAACTAGAGACGGGAGCTCACCCCATCATGTGGCACACTCGGGTCTCGAACTGCTGAACTACCGACCTTCCACAGCCTGCAGTTCAGCATCTTAACCACTTGAGCCATCCCATAACAGACCTTAAAAAGGGGGGGAGGTGAGATTTTATGGTTTTGTATGCACTAACTGGAGTCACTGGAAAAGACAATAATGCTAGGAAAAGATGAAGGAGCAGGAAAAGAGGTGATCTAATGTGAGATGGACTGACGCAGTGAAGGAAGCCACACAGTCCTCAGTTTGCAAGATTTGAGCAAGTGGCTTGACGGCACTTGACACACACAGTGGGAGCTGGTAGACACACACAGTGCAGAAGAAGAAAAAGAGGAGATTGAATCTATACCCCATGGCCCTTCACCACCCGAAGGAGTCTCAGGGCAGCTTACAGTCTCCTTTCCCTTCCCCTCCCTGCAACAGACACCCTGTGAGGGAGGCGGGGCTGAGAGAGCTCTTTCCCAGCACTGCTCGTGAGAGAACAGCTCTGAGAGAACTTGTAACTGAACCAAGGTCACACCAGCAGCTGCACGTGGAGAAGTAGGGAATCAAACTCGGTTCTCCCAGATTAGAGTCTGTGCTCTGGACTGATATCTCTTCGCTTCCTGAACTAGGCTAGAACTTCCATCCTCAGTGAGCGTCTTAGTGGGAGTGACATCAGACACAAAAACAGGTGAAGGACAGGTTGGCGGGCAGTTCCTAGGTGGTGACTTGTGTCTGTAGATGTGCAGTCACCTTGCAGGGTTGTCGTGAGGATAAAATGGCAGAAAACGATGTTAAGCTGCTTTAGGTCTCCATTGGGTAGAAAGGCATGTGATAAACAAAGTAAATAAAACACCAGAAGCAGTAGACATCGTCCCTTTAACCAAGGAACTCTTTTCACACGTGCCATGTATGGTTGAATGGTTCCGTCACCTTCGGTCTCTGAGGTTCATTTCCCAAGCTGAATGTCAGAGGCTAAGAGGAGGTTTGTACAAAACACTCTTTGGGCTACAGGAACAGGGTTTTGATTTTTTTTTTAATTAAAAAAGGTGTATGGAAATGGAATTACAAACAGTAGAAACAGAACACACATTGCAGTAGCCCCCCCCACAAAATAAACATGCATGCTGCGCTTCACAGCAGTTATTTCTAGCAAGCCTCCCCACTCCCCATAGCGCGTACTTTTCAACATACACGGCCATTGCTCCTGCCCAACAGCTTGCGCTGTTTGTTCAGACATTCCCAGAGGGTATCACCAGAGGTTCAGTGAGCCAGTGCCCTTCCTTGCCATCTGTGGCCACCATGCCAACATCACGATGAAATCGGGTGAAGGAAAGTTCTGGTGAAAAAGCGGTGGGTGGGTGGGATGAATAAAAATTTAGACTCAAAAAAAGTCTTTTTTACTGCTGAAGCCATTTCCCTTCCCGGAATCTATCAGTGGTGGTAGGGAATCTAAGGCCGCTTTCTGATTTAGCAAGCTGAAAATAATTTGGACGGTTATAAGTGTCTTGCTGTTTTAAAAACGCCTGTGCAGTTAGCCAAGAAGTGTTCATCACGCGTACCTACAATGGGTATT